GATATGTTTGATTTTCTCCTACGTTTCAGACCATCCCTTGTACGATTACCTTCGATTCAACTCGATAGGCGCGATATCGTTCGACGTTCTACGAATGCTTCGATTCGACTGTTGCGCGGAGGCTCACCTTAGACGAGTCCTCCTAGGCTGTGATGACAAACTGAGCCTATATTTTCATTAAGTCCATTTTCCTTCGCTACGAACGTTACTATTTCGCCTTCTACGTCCTTCGACCATGTTACGACAGGCTTCGAACACTTATTTTCATTTTCTTTTCTTAGTACCCGCTAGGTTTCGTCTAGGCCAAGGGCCGCATTTTCCATTCGACCATCTACGCAATACTCTACGACACGAGTACGACTACGATACAAAACGACGCGCCTAGTCCTCGTCAACAGCCCCGCGCACGAACCCGATTCCCCCCTTCGCGAGCGCGTCCTTCTCCATCTTCTGGAGGTCGAGGTCCATGTCGTGAAGGAGCGCTCGACGGCGCGCGATGTGAGCACGCTCCTCGCGGATGACGCGAATTATTCCCCGAGATTCGTCGTCGATGTCAAGAGCGTCGAGGTCGTCCTGTTCGAGGCCCAGGCGGCTGGCCCCATCGAGAGGCCATCGTAGAAGGGGTCGCGGAGGCTCGTCGACTCGGCGCTTCTTCGAACCACTCGCGTCCGCGACCGAAGGCCCAGGAGAGGCTGGCCGAACTACGAAGTCGTCAGCGAAGGCCTAGGACAAGAAGAAACGACTTACTACGCTTCTTGGTGGTAGATCCCCCGCCGCGCGCTTCTTGGTGGTAGATCCCCCGCCGCGCGTTTTCTTGGTCTTCCCAAGCACAGACACCTTGTCGAAATAGCATCCCTGCTGGAACTGCGCGCACCTATCGCAAGTCGTGGCGTTCTCGGCCCACACGCAATCGACCGGGGCCGAGCGGTAGCCGGCGCAACGGTCGCACTATCGAAGAGTTAGCTTCGAACCGCTTCGACAAAGAGTCGAGCTTACCTTCTGTCCCGACTGGCGCTTCTCAATCGCCGCGGCGGCCATGTCGACCTCGGTCATCGCGAGCGGACGTTCGACCGTCCGAGGAGTCTTCTACGAAAGAAAGATTAGTCACCGAACGACGATAGAAGAAAATACTTACGATCGAAGGGTCGTCCGACAGTTCGGCGACTTCCTCGTCGACCCTCGCGCGCCCCTTCCCCTTGTCGACACCGGCAGGCGCGGGGTCAGAAAGAAGGCCTTCGGCGGCCGCGATCTGCGCCAACTCCTCATCAGCGGCCTCTTGCGCGCGACGTTCGTCTTCGAGGCGCCGTTCCTCTTCCTCCTTCCGACGCCGTTCGTCTTCGAGGCGACGTTCCTCGGCGGCCTTCGCACGCTTCGCGGCCTCTTCGATGCGTCGTGCTTCCTCTTCGGCGAGGCGCTTCTGCTCTTCGAAGCGTCATTCGACCTCGGCGTCGATGGCGGTCGCAAGCTCGGGCCAGTCCCCGCGCGCCCACTCGACCCACGATTCCGATGCCCGCTCGGCGAGTTGCTTGACGGCGGCGGCAACGCGCAGCTCCGTCTCCTCGTCGCGGATGGCGCCCAAGGCCTTGCGATAGGCGAGCTGTTCGAAAACAAACGGTTAGTTGGGTTATGCAGATTACGAAGCGACTTACGACCAGCGGCGACAAATCCTGCGCCCACTCTTCGACCACGTCGAGCGCGGCGTCGGCGGTCGGCGGAGCCTCGAGGACCACGAGCAGCGAGGCGAGGCGGCGGTTGACGAGCGAAGGCGTCGACACAGGGGTGGCGGAGCGAGCAGACATCGTAGAAGCAGAGTGAGTATGCGAGAGAGGGCGACGAGAGAGCGATGAAGGAACGATGGGATGGGGAGAATGAGGCTAAGTCTACCCTGCTTATAACCCCCTTTCCGACCAGCGTTTGGCGCCGGCCACGTGGCGTTCGAAACCGCCGCGGGTTGTCAAGCCGCTTCGATCCGTTCACGACCATCGCGCTTCTCGCATCACGTGGAGGACCGAGGGCGGTCCAAATTTCAATAGGGAGGAGATGATAGGCGCCAAGCCCCTCTGGGCCCCGATTCACCTCTTTTCGGCACTCGCATCCCGCCCGGCACTTCGACTTAGTCTCCTAACACTTCGATTTCGCCTTCGACACTCTTCGACACCTTCGACGGTGCGCGACGCTTACTCGAAGCTCGGCACGGTCGTCCCGACACCTCGTGCATAGATCTCGGAACATCTTCCGTATTCGGCGAACAATAGGGCCACTTGACGCCGCTCGGCCAAGCGCGCGCTTCGCTCCAAGCCACACCGAAGTAGCCGGTCTTTCCCGATTAGGTATCGAACCTCGCGACATGCCTTCACGACGGCTACCGGTCCGAAGTGGCCATATGTTGCTCTTCATCTCCGCGTTCGGCATGACGTCATTCTACCGATGGACTTGGTATGTGCCCCTCGGTGAGGCAGCTTCTTGAGGAACAATGCAAAGCCCCTTGTACTCGTATGCCACTCTCGAATAGTCGTAGCGTCCTGTGTAGTATAAAACCTGTCGTACTTCTCTCTAAAAATACAAGATCCGTTCCCCCCCCTCGAGTTCAGAGCTCATAAGTCGAGTTCACCCCGCGTAAAAGCTTCCACTGCGTCACTTCGTCCCTCGCTGCGTAACTTCGAAACCTCGTCCACTGCGTTTACTCGTCGATACCGTCTCGACGAACCCTTCGACTTCGACTATTGTCGAAGAAACCGCGAACCGCGCCCTAGCTAAGTACACCCCATCAAATCGTGTCCCTTCTCTCTACGATACATCGAAGAGCTCTGCCGAGCTTCGATCGTCGCTAACTTTCCACAGCTTCCGAGTAGCTTCGACGACGTGTCGAAGCCACCTCGAACCTACCCGTTTGTTCGTAACCTTTCCCAAGGGCGTTTCTCGTGTTCACTCGAACCGCGGGACACCTTGCTGCTAACTCCCCTCTCATTAGACTATAAGCCGTCTCTCTAGTCCCTTTAGGTCGCACCCAGGTTAGGGGTTAGGGTTTCGTAGGTCGTATC